ATCTTACCTACTGCTAACAGATGTGGGTGAGGTTTTCTGTGATATGAAAAGCAAGCATTCTCTGAATGGCTAAAAATCTTCTTTGGGGCTGGGTGCCATGGCTCATGTGTGTAATCCCAGCACGTTGGGAGGCCAATGTGGGCAGATCAAGAGGTCAGGAGATCGAGACCATCCTGGCTAACATGGTGAAACCCCATGTCTACTAAAAATACAAAAAATTAGCCAGGTGTGGTGGCGGGCGCCTGTAGTCCCAGCTACTCAGGAGGCTGAGACAGGATAATTGCTTGAACCCGGGAGGTGGAGGTTGCAGTGAGCAGAGGTCGCGCCACTGCACTCCAGCCTGGGCAACAGAGCAAGACTCCATCTCAAAAAAACAAAAACAAAACAAAAAAAATCTTATTTGGGCTGTTTTTGACATTATTGGATTGGAAAACTTGAGTTTGGCACAGCCGTTTAGAAACAGTCTGCAGTTTAGAAACACATGCCATAGGAGCAGTTTGCACTGGACATCTTTAGCTCATTTCTACAACACTGTCACATATTCTGTAAACTTTGTTGTGCAGACTGTGCTAGTCCAAACAGGCAAACTCACACTGTTCTGGAGGAGATTGAGACATACAGAGGCCAGTTCTCCACCTGGACCTCAATGGAGGTTTTTCCTGACCAAAAGTGAGAGTTTGCCCCTGTGTAAGAATTGAGACCAAGTCACCTGCAAGGGGAGCTTCCTTCTGTGATGCTGCAGGTCCTATGACTGGATTCCTGGCTCCAGATACCTGAGGTTAAAGCTGTCTTCATTATCTCACTAACTGCAAATTGTCACCCACTGGGGAATAGATTCATGGATAAATATTCTGGTACGCAGAGAGCTCAGGGAATGAAGCCTTCTTGGATGTCCGTATCTTGCGCTTCTGAGAATTTCTCTCTCTAAAAACTGTCGAAAACAGAGTTGTTTACATGTTTGACATGTAAGGCACATGTAACACATGTAACATGTTTCTGAGTCTTCAGACCCTGTTCTAAACCTGCCAAATCTGAATCTGTTTCCAAACGTTTGAATTATTTGACTTTTTCTTGAAAAAAAAAAAAAAAGGAAAAAGTCCTATAAAATAACAGACTGAGCTGAGAGATTCAGTGCTGGACTTTTCCTCCATGCATGTTAATCTTTCTGCAGAGCCCACCTCACCAAACCTCAATACAAAAAGTGAAACAAGGATTCTATTCCCTCCCTGAGCCTTCTGCATCTTATAAGTTCCCTCGAAATTCTTATCCTTATAGAAAGGGGCTTCTCTCCTCAAAAGTAGGTCTCTAAATAACCACAGTTTGTCTGGAAGGTTATGAATTTTTTTCTACCATTTGAACATGAAAGTTGTCTTTTTGACTTTACATTAAAGCCTGGTTTAATTGAGAGGTGGAGGGTGGAGACCCCAAGAAGATTCTGGGGACTGAATTGGGAATTTGAGCCTTTTATACTGCAGTGGAAGTTGCCTGTGATGTGAAAATTTGTATGAATATACCAAGAAGACAAAGAAAGTTGTTTCTTCCTGTTTAATTTAGAGAAAAAGGTTCACCTACAGAAAAATTAAAAATATAATTTGAGAATTCTGAAACTTACTACTCCTCAATTTATATTAATTTTAAGATCCACAAAGTGCTCATATGAATTTTGAATGCAGAAATGTTAAGACCTTCAGGAAAACTCAGATACAAAATTAAATCACTTAATTTATAAAATCAACTGAAATTCTCTTTTAGCCTCTTCCTGTCAACCCCTGATCATAAAAATCCTGTTCAGAACAAGAAAGAGGCAGGAGCTGAACAAATTTCCTGTTGCTCATTCCTTGTTAATAATAATAAGAAGAACACCAGTAATTGCACAGCCTCTACATGGCCACCTGGAAATGGTGACTCTGCCGTATGGAAGCAGCAGCTTCATACCACAGTAGTAAATTTCACTTTGGTCCTCTCTTGGCCAGGAGTCAATGATCACCCAAAGTTCACATGCTCTACGAAGCATCAACTGTGCTCAAATTTCAGTACTTCTAGAAATTTGTTTTTATAAAATATATCCTAGCAAGAAAAGAATTCAGGATCAGTAAAAAAATAAAATAAAATAAAATAAAATAAAATAAATTTTCACCTTCTAGAAGCAGTCAGGGCATGAAATTATAAAGTGTAACAAAGGACTATAGACATGACCATGTCTTAGAAACTTACTTTACCAGCTCTTACTCATATTTAATATTCTTACCTTAGCAAATGAAGAACATTATCAACCTGGAAAATGACTTTTTGTATTGTGAAATCCTAGCAGCCCTAGGTAGAATTTAAAGCCTAATATGAGAATCTCTGTTATTCGCTTATCCCAGAAAATCTGATTGCACAAAAAATATCTGTATTAAGCACATTAAAATGGAAAATCTATTGATCCTGTGAAATATTGTAGCAAATACGTGCAAGTTTATGATACTGCTGAATAGGCCCTTAAAGTTGAGCAACATCTTTTGTTTCCAGGTTGATGCCAAGGTATTAAATTTCAGTAAAAGTAATTTGTCTTGAGTTCAAACTAGCTTATGATATTTGTCATTACATACAGTTCAGCTTATTCAGAACTGGTAGAGAAAACATGACATCATGAGAAATGTGTTATTACATTTGTCCCAATACTAATATTTGCAGAGAGACTGAGATGCATGATTTGCACAACCATATTCAAGACATCAAAATGTTTAATGGAATAGGCAAATCCATAAAAAAAATAAAAACTTTACACCAGAACTTGGAACAGGATTAATGTACCTATCGAGAATGTGACTTGTCCCCTACTGAGTTACTGACAGAAGGACTGGGTAAGAGTTGGTGCAGTAGAAGTCAGGACATCATAGTGTCAACTTTTACACCTTCCTCATTAGAAAGCCAGGACAGAAACTGCCACAACACAAGGAAATTATCAGAAAATTCCCTAAGAACTCTTTGTAGCTGCCCGGTCATATTGTGGCTATGGTTGGGAGGCTGACTTCTCCAGCTGGTATTGCACTGCAGCTCGTATTTCTGGGTACTCAGCTCTACAGCTACCATCAAATGGCATTAAATGGTATACCCAAATCAATAAGGTTACTATAATATGTACTCCATAAACATGGAGAGAATCAGAGTTCCTGATGATAGGCATACGTTTTCCATTCCATTCTGCTACATGAGCGTCTGTATTTAAAAATATAAAGGAAGCTCACAGTGGTCTTTTTGGAATCTGGAGGCAACAGATTCTACACCATGGAATACTGGTCAGGCCCGCCATCCAAGTGACATGGAGTCTTCCCAGCCTTTAGTGGGACCCAGGGCAGAAAAGGGCTCTGCAGCAGGTTCAGCCTGCACTGTAGGCAACACTGTCTCTTGTGCCAGTGCAGATACAGATGACTTGCCAAAGCTCTCAACCATGTGGGCAGGATTGACACTGAGAGAACACTCCACCACTACAGCAGACTCCATAACCATTTTAAAACATTAGTAAGACAGATCATGCTTAGGGTCACAGGATATTACAAAGAAATTAAATCGATTTAAATCACACAAAATAAAGTTTCAGAAGGCAAGGGAAATTTACTAGGAATCAATGACAGAAAGCTATCAGAAAAAAATCAAAACATTTTTAGACTATGTAACATACTACCAAATAAAGTCTGGGACAAAGATGAAACCAAGAAATGAACATTTCAAAAAATTTGAAGTGAAAGAAAACACATTATCAAAATTTGTGGGATGCAAGAAAACATCGAATTTATAACCCTGAATTTCTAGAAATATTCATGCATTTTAGAAAATAAATTTTCAAGCCAATCCCCTGAACTGCCACCCTGACATGCAAGTACAATAAGAGTAAATTGTGCTCAAAATATGTTATTCTTAAAAGTGTGGGCATATGATGAGCACATGTCCAGTACTGCAGCAAAGAAATCACATCAGCCTGGAAATAAAAATCCACATTAGCAGCTTCACAAGAGAAAGTGGATGGGCAGGGTGTGTAAATGTGCAGAGAAAACTGGAAGATAGGAATAGTGGAAATAGAAATCGTATGTAATATTAATATGGGCTGTACATGTTTGAGACCCCTGTGAGCTTTGACTTGTTCAAAAGGATAAATCATGCAGTGCAGATAACTTTCCATCCCCCAGAGGGTTGGTGAGAGTGGGATCATTTGACAACGGGAGGAGGAAGTGCCCCGAAGGTCATCAGAGGCAGCAGGTGAGGTCACGACCCACTAGGATCCCCCCTCCCAGTGACGTGAAGGAGCATCCCTGAAGCCATGAGGACAGCAGGGAACTTCATGACTGCTCCAGAGAGGACATGGCAACCACTTCCTGGAGAATATGTGGGGCCTGAGCACCCTAAGTTGGGAGGAAGGGAGAGGCTCTGGGAGGCTTCCTGGGGGCCCTGGCCCTGTTCGCACAGAAGTGAAGCCCATGCCTGTAAGTGAGGACTCATGGTCTCCTCTTCAAAGGCTCTCCAGCCGTCTTCACCATCTTCTCCAGCCCAACGGCTGTGGGCTCCATCTCTGGGTGCTGCAGTTGCTGGTGCTGCAATGAGAGGCTGAGCCTACTAGAGGGGCTGTGTTTGAGGCCCTCAGGCTGTGCAGGGTCCTGGTGAGGGTTCTGCTCACAGGAGAACGTGCAGCATCTCCAAACTCCAAACTGGTGCCTGTGATGAAGAAATGAATAAAATTTTGATAGTACGTGTGTTCATACTTGTTGAGATGTGTGAAAATATACTCTGGAGACTTGTCATTAATTTGGTCTTGTACACCACTTTCTATAAACCTAATTTTTACTGTCTATGTGGTCTGTCTGGTTAAAACTACAGATTTAATTATACTTGTCATGGAATCCATTATCTTTAATAGAAAATCATTTCTAATATAACACACTTCTTTAAATCTGGATTACTTTATCCCATTGATTGTAACAATGTTTTACTTTAGTCATACCATGCCATAGCAGGCAAATGGCAGGCTCATTACTAATTCACAGATATTCATAGAGTACTATTTTAAACTGAATCTATGGAAAGCGTGTATTTTTTATATAACTATTACAAGAATGTGGGAATCAGGTTTATGTCCAAGTACTGACCAGACACAGTGAAAATAATATGTTCCATTTATTGTTTGAAAATATTTTCCTTTTTTTGACCAAATAGTACCAACGTAGTGACTTCTAAAATTTACTTGTGTTAAAACAATGGAAGGAATCTTCATTCTCAGGTACAGTGAAGTAGAGAAAAGTGGAAAGGCCAAAACAATCACTGCAAAAAGTACAAACCTTTCATTGTTGAATTGACACACCTGACTTTTTGTCCTCCTGCCACAGTCGCCAAGTTTGCCTATGGACACAAGCTCTGACTTGGCACAGGCAGAGGAGTTCTCCTGGGAAAGGAGAATCCACCTGAGCCTTGGGGGTTGCACAGGGCAGCCTCTGTATGTGCCCCGTGCTTTCCATGGGACACGTGTTGAGGTCTGAGTCAGCAGGCAGGGATGGAGGTGCTGGGTTAGAAGGACATAAAACTCCCACAGATACAATGTGCTCCCCCAATCCCCAAGGCTGCACAGAGCATCCCGAATACATGTCTGAGTCATGGACACCGGTCTCCACCCCCACTGCCCGCCCCCTGCTGGTGTAGACCCTGCTGGGCCTTCTGCTCAGCATGTCAGTGCTTGTGACATCTCCAGACCCAACCAGCAGTCTCTAGGGCCAGAATGAGTTTCAGATGCTCTGTTTGGCTGTGTTGGGTTGACAAGATATGAGCAACAGGACCTCAGGTCTCTTTCCACAGCGATTTCAGTAAGCCTTTGGTGGTTACAGATCTAAAACGCTTCCCAAAGCACTATTTTCCCAGGAAATTCGCAGTGATGCAGGCTCCACCCAGGAAGCCAGGTAGTGGTGCCTTCAACTCTGGGATTCTTCACAAGAAACGTATCAGGCCTCCTGGGTCCACATCATGAACTGCCAACTCCACCACCGTCCACATCCCTACCTACCAAAGGCCAAGGGCAGTTTGACTGAAGCTGACCTCTCCTATGTCTCCTTCACGCTTTCATCCCTGTAGTCTGCCCAGTCTGAAATTCTTAACATTTTGAAGTAAAAATGTTCACATCATTCTGTACTTTTCCAGTTTTCTATGGGAAAAATTACATACTCTACATTTTCCAGTGTATGCTTTTTATTTTTGAAAACAACTTTTGCAATTTCAGGGACTCATTTTTTCTATCATTAAAAGGTAACTAAGGCTAATTAAACAGTTTTAGCATTAGGATCTTGTATCTTCCATGAATTTACAAAAATCTATTTGATACTCCAAAATTAAGGTTTTCACTGACTATCCTCAGCCAGCTTCCCCTTATGGTAACTAGTATAGATTGTTGTCTCTACTGCCTTTTGGGAGTGGGAGAATAGGGGAAGCAGAAAGTTAGAAAACTGGCAAAATACAAATATTAAATATTATCAAATGTCCTCAACTGCTAAACCCGAAGATGTATCCAACATGGATAGTCACAATCTGTGTCAATGGTCTGTCTGCTCTGCTGATTACATTTAATTGGCAAATGTACACAAGGCAGGGAGCGTTAGGGTGAGCTTTCATTCTCCTCTCCCTTCCATCTTGCTTGTTTACTCCCAGGGCACCTGAACCCCTCATTCTCCTGCTGCTTATGACAGTAAAGGTTGTGGTAACTGGCAGGGCATAAAGGAGTGGTGCCTGCGGTGTGGCTGGGCTCTCAAAGTCCAGAGTCCTCAGCTGTGAATTGTCTCCTGCTTCTCCAGCATCTTCCTCTTACACAGATTCTGAGACCCCGCTGAGCTGCTCCCCAGTCAAGCACCACATGTGGGCAGCTGGGCCACCCCATAGGGAGGTTTTTGTTCAGGGCTGTACCACTGTGGGAGGCCAGTGTGTACCTTGCATGCAGTAATAAACCCCAACATCCTCAGCCTCCACTCTGCTGATTTTCAGTGTGAAATCTGTCCCTGCCCCACTGCCGCTGAATCTGTCTGGGACCCCAGAGTACCGGTTAGAAACCTTATAAATTAGGAGCCTTGGAGGTTGGCCTGGCTTCTGCTGTAACCAACTCAAGTAGGTGTTTCCATTACTGTGTACAAGGCTTTGACTAGACCTGCAGGAGATGGAGGCCGGCTGTCCAGGGGTGACGGGCAGGGAGAGTGGAGACTGAGTCATCACAACATCCCCACTGGATCCTGAAATAAATACAAAGAAGAGCAAGGTTATGTAGATACTTTATGCATCATTTTCATAAATTTTGATTTGTTGTTTGTTGCAGGCTATATATTTATTTGTTCATATTTCAAGAATATAAAATTTCAAAATGAAACTCTAGGAATCCATGGCTCAAAGTGGTCTCCAGAAGACCCTACACCATCCCCTCTTTCTGTGTCAGTCTTCCCCAGAGCACAGATCCTTGTTTCTTCCTGAATCTTCCTCACTCTCACAGATCTGAGCATCACAAACCCCATCCTGGAGGACAAGATGTGCACGTGCAATACATGAAAGGAACACACATAGGAGTGTAGTGAGGCCCCCACAGCTCACTGCTCATAGGAGGCAGTGGGACCCCCAGAGCTCACCGTTCCACCCCATTCTCCTCCCCCATCTCCCTTCTGCCCTTACCGGGGACGCAGAGCATTAGCAGCCCCAGGAGCTGAGCAGGGAGCCTCATGGTGAACTGAGGAGTTCTGATCAGTCAAGACAAGCTTAGAGCTGAGCTTTTATCTCAGACTCCCAAGGGAAGGTCCTCCCTAGGGCACAATATGCAAATCACCTGGTGGGTGCAGTGGGGTGGAAAGAGCCAAGGGGAGGGTGGGAGCCTCTCTTGTGAACAAAATGACGTCTCTGTTCAAAATATCTTCTCTCTTCAGAGGGAAACCAATAGGCATAAATTCTATGCTACCCATGTGGGAGAAATTGAAGTATTTCCTTCTGTCTTCTCTAACAGATTTCATGTTTCATAGCACTTTCCCAGGCACATTTTATATTTCTTGTTAATAAGACCGAGTTTCCACAAATATTTACTAATTCTTATGTTTTTGTTCATTTTTGTCTAAAAGAGTTCAGATTTGGCCCTTTCAATTTTTTAAAAATTGAAATAAAACACACACAAAATAAAGGACAGAAATGTTAAATAATACCAATGAATAAAGTTTTACGTATATTCTCCACCCAGATTAAACTGTAAAATACTTCAGAATCTCCAGATTCTTCCCTCATGTACCTACCTTTCAGGAAACAGCCGTTCCCCGATTCCAATGAAGGAAACTGGCATTCTGAAGCCTGTCCAGATAGATTGGATTTCTCTACATGAAACCTCATACGAATGGAAGTAAACACGTTTGTTTGGTCTAGCTCTTTTTTGTTTTTGTTCCCCTAGTACTTTTGAGACCTTCCTTCCTCCCTATGGATTCAAGTTACTGTCTGCTATCATTTTTTGTGAATCTGAAGAATTTCCTAGAGAATTTCTAAAGAGTATGGCTTTAAGTAATCATTTCTCTTCATTTTTGTTTATCGAGAAATGTTTTTCCTTTACCTTCATTTTGAATGCATACTTTCAGTGGATATTGAATCCTTGGTTTTGTTTTTTTTTGTTTTCCAGCATTTAAACATATCATTCCACTGTTTTCTAGCCTCCTTTGGGCATGATGAAAAGTTAGCTGATGGCTTTATCACTGTATTTCTGTATGATAGAGAGTCGTTTTATGTTTGATACATTTGAGATTTTCTCCTTGTCATTGGTTCAGCATTTTAATTATAATATGTATAGTTATGTGTATCATTGTGTTTGTCCTAAATAAGTTCTTTCAATTTTTTCCTCTATAGATGAATGTGTTTCATTGCTTCTTGAAAGCTTTTGTCATCCCTCCAAATATTTTTAGCCACTTTCTCTCTGTCTTCTCCTTTCTGACTCATTGCACATTTCCTGGGGTTCTTCACATTGACTGATAAACCTCTAAGGTCATGATTATTTTTCTTTAATTTTTTTTCTTTCTTTTTCAGATTTGATAATTTCTACTAAAGTATCTTCAGTTTCATTGATGCTTCTGCCAACTTGAACTCCTGTTGCCGTATCCAGTGAATTTTCCATACTGTATTTATATTTTTCAACTAGAATTCTTATTTGGTCCTTTTCCATACTTTCCCTTTCTCTATTGAGAGACCCCATTCTTTGAGTCATTGTCTCTATGTTTTCCTTTTTCAGTCCTTGATCACAGTGCTAAATATTCTTTGAAGCATTTATGTGACAACCACCTGAAACTCTTAGCAAAATCCAGTATTTAGGAACAGTCAGAGTCAGAGTCAGCTTCCACTGACTGATTTATCTCAGTATGGTTTATGACTTTCACTTTCTTTGCAGGAATTTTTATGGAAAAATGAGCATTGTAGATAATATATTTTTATACATGTCTCAACTAATACATAATTCTGGATTCTGTTTTATTTTTCTAAGAGTGTTGAATTTCCTTCTAATAGCTTGCCTGGACTTAGGCTGCAGAATCTACACCTTACTAGCTGTTTGGCCATTGATATTTCTACTTTTTTTCCTTTTAAGTTTTAGCCGTACCTGTGTCTGCATAGTTTAGTAATCCCCAGTAACTTGGGCATTTGTGTTGCTCAAACTCCTTGAGCTCAATCGTCTACTTTCTGCCAATGTGTATGTGTGTGGCTTGAAGCGGGAACATAAAAGACACCTCCTTCATTTTTATTCACTGGGTCCACTTGGGTCTCTTCACGCAAATATGCAATCGCTAAGTCACATCTGCTCATTCTAAGAATGCGTGAAGGGATGATCTCTACAATTCTATGACTGCATGGTTTCCAGTAATCCATTATCGAGTTTTCACTGGTGTACCACTCTCCCCAACCAGGGTCATCACCTTGGACTTGCAAAACTCCGGGCTTTTTCTGGGCATTTCCTGTAGAGTTCAGCACCATTAGCTGAAAACACTGAAGGCTTTTGTTCTACTCTCCATCCTGGCTCAAGTCAATCCCTTTGGGTAACAAGCTTCCAGTTGTTGCTGCCATTTCAGTTGGTAAAACTAGACTTCTAAAATTTCTGTTGATGAAGCTAGTGTGAAAAAAAGCAGTTCCAGGCAAAAGACCATAGACTTTTCCTATCTGTTAGCACAAAGTGCACCATTTTGTAAGCCACCCGCCATTTTGTAGACTTCGGTCAAAGTGAGACATTCCACGGGGGTTGGGACTGTGAGAGGCATCCTGCCTAACCACCTGACTACAGGGACATCCGTCTCGTCTTCTGCTGGACAGTTTGCCCAAGAAACATTCTTGTCACACCCTGCTGGGCAAAGGGCCCAAAGAACATCCTTGGCATAACCACCTGACCACAGGAATATCTTATCAACGTCCTGTCGGGCAACAACTCGTACTGCCCAGAACCTGCCCGCCCATACCTGTAAGTACCCCAGCCTGTAAGTGGCAGTGGGTATTAAGCTAGTCCCCTACCTCCATAGTCTTTTGCTGGACATAAAACCTGCTTTGCTGTAGAGCCACCAACTCTCTCCCTGTCTTTCTTTAACCCTTTCCTTCTCTTCAAAACCTAACACTGTCCTTACCCAAAGCTCTCATCCTTTTTCAAGATACAGCCATATCTCCTTTCATTGTGTTTTGCTTTATTGTGCTTTATAGATACTGTGATTTTTACTAATTAAAGGTTTGTGGCAACTCTACTTCAGGCAAGTCTTTTGGTGCCATTTTTCAAGCGGTAGGTGCTTACTTCCTGTCTCTATGTCAGTATTGTTCAGCAGCGTTTTAAAAAAATTAAGGCATGTGCATTTTTTAGGCATAATAATATTGTACTTTTCATGGACTACAAGATAGTGTCAACATAACTTTTACACGCACTGGAAAACCATAAATGCGTGTCACTCCCTTTATGATGATATTCATTTTATTGAAGTGATTGGAAACGAGACCAGCAATATCTCTGAGGTGTGCCCATAACCACGTCTCAATTTATTTGATGTCTTTTGCAATTTCCAGAGCAGCCATAGTGACGAGGTCTGGAGTGAGAGTAACCTTGCAGTGACAGTGGGTCTGGGGCTAGGCATGAGCTAGTCCACATAGACGGGGCTTAGTATCTGAGTTGCCAGTGCAGGGTGAGATCCTGAGGCCTGGGTCTGGGGCAACGCAGAGGGTAAGGTTTGTGCCAAGGGGCTGGGAGGTAGCCCTGTCACAGGAGACACAACAATGGCTCCTTACTGGGGAGTGCGTATAGCAGCATCTCCCTCTCTGGGGTGTGCGCGACTATGGCCGCAGGTTACCGCCCAGGCAAAAGCACCAGTGGCCCCTGTGGAGCAGGCTGCTGTGATCCTGGACAAGAAACATTCAAGGGCCTCCACTGGGAAAGCTGAATGGTGGGGGATTGCCCGGGTGGCTGCTGAGGTTATCAGTAGCAAAGGCTGCAGGGTCCTCCCACAGCGCAAGTTATGGAGCCCACAGTGGCACCACCGCTGGCTGTTAGCAATTGCTTCCCCTTTCTTTGTTCCTAGAGGTATCAGGGCTCTCAGGTGTGCCATCAGCTTCCAGCCATCCTTTGTGTGTGCGTTTTCTTAGCTTTTTACTCTATCCTGTTGCTGCATGTTTGGAATTGAACTCTTCAGCCCTCCCAGGGTATTGGCCTCCTTGAATAATTGTCGAATTGCTGGGTTTTGTGAGGGGTGAAGCCTGGTAACTCTTACTCTGCTATCTTGCTGACATCAGTTCCCCAGGACATCATTTTGATGATGATATTTTGAACTTTGCCCTGACACTATTATGGAATAATACTTAGGCTTGATAGGGTGAGAATTAGAGCATTTAACATGTAAGAGGGATATGAGTTGTTTAGGCTACAATGCTGACTGATGCGAGTTATACCTTCTAGATGACTGTCACAAGACCTACCATTTTATGAGTTCCTCTAAAAGTGTGATCTCTGGGTGAGGTTTCCATGATGCCATATGCCTATCTCCCCCAACAGTTAATCGGAATTCTGAATCTCGTGTTCTTTATAATTTGACTTTCCTGTCTGGAGTTAATTTATTCTGTATATATTCATCAAATAATATTTTTAATTTATTTGTTTAAAACTCTATAAAAAGGAATTCATACAAATAAAACCTAACTTATGAATGTCTTTGTGCCTGGTGCTTTGTTTGTCCTCTTTAAGAAATTTATCTCTGCACCTGTT